GATACATATAGCAAACCCTAACAGGGTTGTACTCACTACAGAGTACCCCACTGCAGACTAGAGAAACATAATATTCTGACAGCGGTAGGTGAAGTGGCTTTCCATGTAATCAAGCCATCGAATTTGTCGCGGGTTGAGGTTGGGCTGGGCTCGCAGATATTGGAGGGACTTGTGGTCCGTGCGAACAGTGACGTCGGCGCCCACCAGGTAGCATCGCCACAGTTTGAATGCATGGATAATGGCGAGCATTTCTTTGTCGTGAATCGGGTAGTTGCGTTCGGCTGCTTGCAGCTTGCGTGACTTGTAAGCTATCGGCTGCAGTCCGTTCCTGAAATCCTGGAGTAGCACTGCTCCGATCGCGAAATCAGAGGCGTCGGTGACGACTTCGAACGGCTTCGATGGGTCGGCGATGCGCAGCACAGGAAGGGAAACCAGGAAATTTTTCAACTCCTGGAAAGCCGCTTCTGCCTCCTCCCCCCACACAAAATTCCTGTCCTTGTGCAGCAGGTCGGTTAGCGGGCCGGTTATCCCCGCCATATTTGGGATAAACCGCCGGACGTAATTCATGAACCCCAGAAAACTCTGCAGCTCCGTGATATTCGTCGGGGACTTCCACTCCTGTATGGTCTTGATTTTCACCGGGTCGATTTTAATGCCGTCGCGTGAGACAACGTGTCCCAAAAACTCCAACTCTTGCTTAAAAAATTTGCACTTAGAGCCCTTGGTGATGAGTCGATTCTCCTGCAACCGCTTAAACACTGCGTCGAGGTCACGGAGGTGGTGCTCCCGTGTCTTGCTAAAAAACAGGATATCGTCCAAGTAGACGATGACGCATCGGTCGAGCAGGTCCCGAAAAATCCTATTCATGGTTAATTGAAAAGTTGAGGGCGCGTTCGTGAGGCCGAAAGGCATCACTGTGAATTCGTAACTTCCGTAGCGGGTGCGAAATGCAGTCTTGTGGCAGTCGTCGGCGAAGACTCGGATTTGGTGGTAACCGCCTCGTAAGTCAATCTTCGAGAAATAACGAGCTCCGCGAAGTTGATCGAGGAGGTCATCGGTGCGGGGGATTGGGTAGCGAGACTTGATTGTCACCCGGTTTAGCGCACGATAGTCGATGCACATGCGAAGCCCGCCATCTTTTTTTGGAGTGAAGAGGATCGGCGTTGCGAAAGGAGATGTGCTGGCTCGGATGAACCCTTTCTCCAATAGTGCGTCGATTTGACTTCGCAACTCCTCAAGTTCCGGTTGGGTCAACCGCCATTGTGTCCGAACAGTCGGCTGCGCGCCAGGCTCCAGCTGGATTTTGTGGTCCTCGGGTCGCTCGGGTGGTAGTCCAGGTGGCAGGTCGTCGGGGAAAATGTCGGGGTACTGTCGAATCAGCTCCGCTAAGTCCTGTGGTACAGCTGCACAGAGCTTCTCGATGTCCTTTCCGTCGGTGTCCACCATCAACTCGCGTAAGCAAACAGCGAACAGCTGTGAGCCCTTGTTGAAGTGTCGAGCTATAGTGACACCTTTGACGCACGGGGCTTGGATGTAGTCAGGTGTCCATGCAGGCAGCTTAATTAGCCCCTCGTGCTTGCTGATGCAGGACGATCCCGTTGTCCAGTCGATGACGGGGTTGTGCCGTCGCATCCAATCACGTCCCAATAGCACGTCGCAGCCGTCCAGTGTCGTCGCGAGGAATTTCATGCTGAAACCGAAATCGTCGCCGCAGTCAATCCGAACCGTCCGTGTTTCTTCCAATATCGCCAGAGGCGTCCCATCCACGAGGCGAGCGTCGATTTTGGGCAGACACCTGTCAAGTTGCAGCTTGCATTTTTTTGCTGTCGCCAAGTTGAAGAGGCTATGCCTGGCCCCTCCGTCGACGAACATTTTGAAGTTATATTTTAACACCTTGCCAGCGACCAGCACAGGGTGATCCACATGACTATCCCCGTTATTCGGCCGAGTGCGATCGATTGCATGAATCGGAACCACGACTCGGTGGGGATGGTGGTGTTCGGGCGATGGAGCACAGTCCGTAAGGGGCCCGCTAATTACTGACTTTTCCCATTTCCCTGCTCCTTCCTGTCGTTCCCCATCAGCGGCGTTTTCTCGTGGCAGTCGCGCATTAAGTGACCCATCTTCCCACACCGATAACACGGTCCCTTAGGAGGGCGGTCGGGTGTATGGACGACGTTGATTGTGGCCCGATGGGTCTGGCCACGAAGACGGATTCCCTCCCGGGAAGCCGTTCTCGCATACTGCATCAGCGCATGAATGGACTCTGCCAGCCGTACTGCTTCCAAGAATGTTGTCGGGCGGCTCTTGCGGACTTCGTACTGTATCTCATATTTTAGGCCGCTGATGTATTTATCCAACCGTTCCGCTTCCGACATGTCATCCAATTGGTCGGCGAGGCCCATAAATGACGCTGTGTAGTCTTGGACAGATGCCATCTGCGACCAGGCACGCAGCTTCATGCGAGCTTGCTCCGAGGCCGATACATGCTCGAAGCGATCTCGTAAGGCTGCGCCCCACTCTCTCCATGTGCGTATCTTGGTCACTCCGAAGATCGACTCTGCCACTTGATTAGTCACTGTTGAGGTCTCGTCTGCCGCATGTGTCACACCTGTCGGGGTCCCTGTTTCTAGGGTTCGGCGCCACCACTCAAGCGCTGCACCTCGGAGAAGAGAAACGACATAATTAATGCGCATGGCATCATCGGTTACTCCTGCTGCAGTGAAAAAGACTTCGACTCCAAACAACCACCCTTTCACCGTAATCGTCTTGTCCGTAGGATTAAACGGGGGCGGGTTGGCAGGTTTAATCTTGATCGTCGTTACTGCAACTGGTGCTGATGCCGCTCACTGCCTGTCCTCTTCTTCGAAGTCACGTGTGAGCGCGTCCAACGGGTTGCTCACCGCTTGACTGTTGCCCTCGCCTTCGTCATCGGGCGACTCCTGACGCGCTTCACCTCGCGCCTGGCGTAGCTCGGCGTTTTCTCCACGTAGTGTTGTCACTTCCGCCATTAATGACTTCATGCCCTCTTGCATTTCTGCCACTTGCGCCATGAGTCTGTTAACCGCTTCTTGATCCATGTGTCGGGCACTTCGTCGGGTGGGCAAGCGGGTCTCCGTGGCCTTCAGGCGAAGTGGAAAATACGAACTATCGGAGTCGGGCAGGTTTGAATTAACAAACCTTGCAGCCAACCGTCGTGTAGTCCACTTATACCAGCCAACCCGTGCCACCAAACTACCCTCTAAAAACGGGGTGAACTAGGAAAGTAGCTCTGATACCAGGTGTTATGAGTTGTAAAAGAGAGTGCGCAGTTTAACGAATAGCGAGAAGTGATTGAACAGACTGATTATAAAATGAAGGTACATGCTTATATAGTGAGTAGGCTAGCTAGGAGGGAACTTCGGGTGAGTGAGGTTGGGTGCAGGTTTGGCGAAGAGGAAAGCCGAAGGCAACGCGAGGAGGCTCGGCATCATTGATGTCGGCCAAACGTGCAGAGTCCGAAAATCGGGGCTGTACGCAAAGCAGTCAACCCCGATAAGGAATTCGGGAAAATTCCTTACAATTATCCTCTGGTACAATACGCTCCAGCAGATAATTTCAATACCAGGTGCGGTATCTTGAGAAAGTGAGATACCGTGGGCACCTCCTGCTGCAAGTGAGAAGACCCAGACCGGAAGTGGGAATCAGCAGTACACAGGACAACCAAACCGAAGCGACGATAGACACTTGATCGAATCGCGCGGTAGGAGAATAAAGCCAACATAGATCGCAGGAGAATCAGTCGGTAGTACAGTCGTTTATACTCCAGCACTGTCGAGATACCAGCTTCAGGACCTTGATTGTGAACACGGCGTTAATGAAGCCGTCTAATTGCGATTACCTTACTTCTGACAACCTGGTTCCGCGTCAGAGTTCGCGTGAAAATGTCAGGCGAAAAGCTGACATACGGTGACACTGTGTGTTTGGCGGGAATCGAGCTGAATGGTCTCTTGTCGTCGTCAGGCCTCATCGACGAGCGTGTCCGATTCGAGATTCTTGACGATGGCACAGAGGTTCCACCTAACCTGGATTTCTGTAAATTCGAGGTACATGATAGCAACGCCTAGGGGTGATCCGTATCCATCTCATTACACCATTCCTCGCTCTCGCGTGTGTCTGGTAGCCTGGAATACAACAGCATCTCTCATTCCATATCGAAGGAGCATGACGGTTACTCACAATGAGACCGCAAGGGCTATGGTGATCGCAACGACAATATCGATGAGCTCAGGATGACATCATGAGCTTACAATGACGTGCACACATTCGTGTGATTCCGAGAATATGATGAACATGAACTAGTTTTCCAGGGTAACTGATAAGAAGTTGGTACACTTGCAAAGATTGTGGCATGGCTTGCTCACACACAAGACTGTCTTGTCTCGCCAGTGCTTCTATGGCCTTTCTGTGTATCGCTAACGTTCGCTAACGAGGGGTTTTCCACGTGGCAGGTCCGTATCAAGTACCAGTACTCGTCTCACAAGCAGAAGAAGGAAGGGGTTGATAGCTCCCCCGCATCAGGAGGGTACAGCTTCTCCTCTGGAGGTGGTGCTGCTGCTCAGACAAGCAGCGAGGTACAGTATACAGGGAGCAGAGCAGAGCAGAGTATAGAAGGGAGTCAAGGGACAAATGAAGCAGCGCGGGGACTGCAGAAGTGATTGTGAGGGGCTTTGTAGTGAGTTGAGGGACGTTGTGCAAGAAATGAGGGTTGCTTATTCACGTTGCAGTGGATGGCTGGGAGATATTGCATCGAGTGGGAGACGTGGCAGAAATGGAGAGAGAGAGACATCGCTGTTGTGTTGCAGCTTCATTCTCTGTTTCTGATGACCCGTCTATGTTCCAGCTGACTCACTCTCAGCCTTCTCTCCCTGCATATCCGATTTATATAGTTCCTCCTCCTGCGTATCCTGCATGAAACTTCCTCTCTGTTTCCCCTTTCTGTTGCGGTTTATGTACAATAGAGTGAGAGTCTTCAAAAGGCAGAGCAAGCTTTCAACAATGGTGAGCCTCTTTTCTCCCTCCTATTATCCACTGCTCATTAACCCACTCCATTTAAATCAAAAGCCAGCAGCCACCATTTCTCTGTGACCCACAAGCAGCTATGCACTGCTTGCTCCCGTTTCCCTGCCCCACTCGCATTCCTTCGACAGCCTCTCTACTCTCCCACCGCATCCCTCATGAGATCCCGTTCCCCTTTCGTCCCACTTCCTTCCCCTCGCACCTGCTCCCTTTCCCACCGGTTCCCCTTCTCACCCGTCCCTTTCCTGCCTGTTCCCTTCCCCACCGGCTCCCCTTCCCACCTACTCCCCCCACCCTCCCCCCCTCTCCACTCCTCAGCTGAGTTTCTGCGGTCGGTGGGCAGTCCAGTGCTGTACGGGCACGTGGTGCAGCTGTTCCACGTGAGCAGCGGCAAGTTCGTGAGTGTCAAGCGCACGCAGTCAGAGCTGGAGAAGTCGCACCTCAAGGTCGTCCTGCAGAGGCGTGGCGACATGGGCTCCTGGTTCACTGTCACGCCCGCGTACAAAATCAAGGTGCGCGCAGCGCATGCACTTGTTTCGATCCGCCTCAGATTACCTTTAAGTCGACTCAAAAGTCATCAGGCGGCGACAGGGGCTCCTGGTTCACGGTCACGCCCGCGTACAAAACCAAGGTGGAGGAATGCATTCGAGAGTGGGGTCCTGTTTCGCTGCCACTCACGTGTAGAAAACCAGGGTGCGGCCAGGCAGACAGTAGTTTGGTTTGACATTTGCAGCAGTAGCTGGACAATTGTCTCACTCGACCCTGCATCTGAATAAGTTTTCCACCACTCTCCCTCTCTTGCAAACCTTGGGGCACACCAGCGGGAGGGCGAGCATGTGGCGTTTGGAGACGCGGCAACGTTCATGAGTGTCAAGTTCTCTGGAGCCGGGTAACGCAACGGTGGGCAAGGAGAGAGAGGGCTAAGAGTTGACAGGGATAGGGGGGCGATGTTTCCTTGTTCTTGCTTGCATGAAACACCTCAGAGAGCATCTCATTGGAGGAGCCGGGTAGCACAGAACTCCCTTTTGAACCACGTTCTTTTGTTCTCCATTTCTTTCCTTCCCGCTTCAAGCATCCCTTCTCTTAGAACCTTCTCCTTTACTCATTATCCTCTTGTTCCTGCACCTGTTCAGCACCTTCTGCTCGTTCCTTATCCTCTTCCCGTCGCAACCCCCTTCTCTCCACGCACCCTCTCTCACAGGTTGCGGCTCTCGGATGCGTCCTTTGATGTCACGGTGTCAGGCTGCCATCCCTACGTGATCGACTCTAGAGAGGTGAGCACAGAAGAACGGCAAAAGGGCTAGTGGGGTGGAGTGCGGGAAGCATGAATGAACCACCCGAATCTACGAGTCGACTCAAGAATCAGGCTGTGGAAGATCATTTCTTAAGGCGCCTCAACAATTGTCCACATGCGTGTGTGTGCAGGTGAACGCAGGCCCAGAGGTGGGGCGGTGGAAGCTCATACCCTACGCACTGCACGAGAGCAAGCTGCTAAACGCCCGGCACCTGCTGAGAGGCGGCGATGCAGTGGTGGTGACGCACAGGGCGAGTGAGATGCACCTGGTGTGCGACGAGGGCCAGGTATTCTTTGAAGCGCGCGGCCAGAGCGAGCCCGGCGGGGGGAGAGTCAGCTCCAATGCTCTCTGGCGCCTGCAGCCTCTCACTGTTGAATGGGGCGGGCGTTTCGCTTCTGGAGACCAGGTGAGGAGGAGGTGCAGGAGAAGGAGGGAGGGAAACGGTGTGGTGGGGTGGGGTGAGGGATGGGGGCTGGGGTGGGAAGAGTGGGTTCTTTATTGAATTATCCTCACTGGTAACAGGTCCCTTTGTTTCAGTGGAGCAATATTCTTCGTATCAGTAACGAGTATTCTGCTGATGTTGCTCTGCTGCCCACCCCTGCCCCACGCATCGTTTTGCTGCTCCCCATCCCTCTTCCTTGTTTTTCAATGCCCCTGCTTCCCCAATGTGCACGCAATCCGCAGTTCACTTATCTAAACTTTAGGTCCCTAAGTCCTACGCCCTTTGATGTACAGAACCTTCCGAGAAGGGCTTTGATTGGAGCCACAGTGATCCAGGTGTTCCAGAGATTTTTGTTTCTCCCACCCCTCCCCCACCTACCTAATCCATGGAGCCATGAAACCGTGAACTCATGAACAAATGAATTCTTGTACCCACGAACCCACAACCCATGAACCCATCAACCCCACGAACTACTCACGAACCCATGGACGCACGACCCTGCACCCTCGTTATCCCCTGCTCCTCTACCCTTCTGCCCCGCCCACCCACCACCCATGGTTGTGATGCGAGGCAGCAATTCCACTTGAAGCACCAGGCGACCGGGCTGTACCTGGAGTCCAGGCGACTGCTGCACTGATGAATCCATGAACCCACGCTATCCCCTGCCTGCTCTCCCAACCCCTCTGCCCCACCCACCCATGGGTGTGGCGTGTTGCGATGCAGCAATTTCACTTGAAGCACCTGGCGACGGGCCTGTACCTGGAGTCCAGGCGCCTGCTGCACTCCAATACCTGCCTCGATATGCGCGGAGAGGACTTCAGGTAAGCGCTGCATGCATGGGTGCATGGGGGGATGAGTGGAGGACTCTGGGTGGGTTGCATCCAAGGATGGATGGGGACAGGGTGGAGGCCTGCTGGTGAAAGAGTCCACCTGGGCTCTAAGATGCTTTGGTAGAATTTTAATCGCTTCAAGTTGGCTCGTATACACTCCAGGCATGGTGTGGCTGAGAGCAAAAGCAGCCAGGTGGCATCTCATCTGTTTCAATGGTGGAGAATTCTCAGGTAAACCTCTTCCGCCATCAGAGGCACAGTGGGCATTCCAGTCTCCAGAGTGGTGCAAAAGGCGAAGCAGATTAAAAAGCATGCCGGTCCATTCAGAATGTGCCATACCTGGCACCGTTTCTCACTCTATCCACCGTATTCAATCCCTCTTCTTCCACTCACACAGGGGTATGGTGGGAGTGACAGAGCTATACAAGAAGCCAGGAACCGTGTGGAGGATAGGGGCAGTGGGGCAGGGCACAGAGAGGCACGTGATTCCCTACCACACGCTCATTCAATGCCACGGCGTGCATGGCTTCATGTCAGGCGGCAGTGGGGACTATTACAAGGCCCGCTGGGCCTCTCCCGGTGCAGTAGGCTCACTTTCCTTTGCCTCGTCTTTCTCTGCCGCTGCTGCTGCTGCGGCTGTTGGTGCGGTTGGTTCTGCGTCGGCGGCTGCTGCTGGTGTGTCTTCGGGGTTTGCGTCGGGAGCGTGCGTGGATGGGGATGGGGATGGGGATGGGGGCGAGGAGGATGAGGAGGAGGCACTGATGGGGAGGCGTCCTGCTGGGCTCACGTCAGTGTGGGACCAGAAGGTGTGTGTTCCGTCTGGTGCAGGGGGGATCAGAAGGTGTGGGTCTTACCTTGATGTGCGCTGTCGTTGTGTTGTGCTCATGATACCATCCCATCCCATTGCACACAACAGGACGCACTTGTATTCGAGGGTGCTCCTCCAGCAGCGGTCAACCTCATCCTCACAGTGAGTTGCAGCAGTTGCTGTTTGCTCTTATGCACTCTCCTCCGTTCCTCTTTTCTCCCTAAAGCCCCTTTGGTCTCCCCTGTTCTTTCCGCGCTCTCTTGCTCTCTCTCGCGCTCTCTCATTCCCTCGTTTTCCATTCAGCCTCCCGCTCCCCCGTCACACTCCCATGTCCTTCAATAAATTTCCCTCTTTCTTCCTCATTCTCTCTCTTTCTCTCTCTCTCCCCTCATTCCCTACTGGCTCTCCTTCTCCCCCCTCAACCGCACAGGAGAGTGACTCCACGCGCTGTCTGAAGAACTTTGTGCTGGCGCTAGACGAGATAGACCCCATAGATGACTGCACGGACGACGAGGTGCTCAAGGCCAGGTGTGTTGCAGTACTGACAGTCCATGCAGTATGCATGCAGAACATCTTTTGAGCGCCTCAGAAGTGGCTCTACACGAGACGAGATAGACCCCATAGATGACTGCACGGACGACGAGGTGCTCAAGGCCAGGTGTGTTGCACTTGCAGTATGCATACACGACATGCCATGCCATGCCATGCCATGCCATGCAGTCTGCTGTGCAAAATCCGCGTGTGAAGTGAGACAAATTTTCAGGCACCTAATAAAATGATTGCATCGAAGGTGAGGTGCTCAAGGCGAGGTACATTGTACTTGCACGCACGCACGCACGCACGCACGCACGTGCGTACGCGCGTGCGTGCTGATGCTGATGACTCTTTGCTTGGAGGCATGCACGATGAGAGGCAGTGAAGCGAGGATATTGGTGCCTGCTGCTTATTTCTATGCCGTTCATGTGCCACCGTGTTTTATGCGCCTCAGAAATCGTTTTATCATATGATGACATACCGGGAAGCGAGGTGTGTTTTATTTAGGTGACATTTCGTTTTGTGCTCTTTTTGTCTTCTTTTCCACCATGAACCCCTCGGTGCATCGGTCCTTTTAGAGTCGATTAAAAAATCGCCTCTGCATGTTTCCCCCTTTGGTTGTGTTTCCCGTCTGCAGCATCCGCACCAGCGGCCTCATTCAAGTGCTCTTCAAGTATGGGTAAGCCGATAATGCCCACCTGTCTCTGTGCTTGCCACATTTCCTGACATCAATTCCGAAATCTGGCTGATTCTCCCAAACCCTTCCCAGCATTCCGCTAATCACCTCGTGCACTCAATCCGTCCAATGTCTTCGATTTTCATCCGCTCTGTTCTTCCCTTCGCCCCTTCCAGCCCAGTGGTGACAGAAGAGCTACTTAGTAGGCACCTAAGAAAAACCCCATCCATTCCCTTCCTTATTCCTGCATTTCATTCATTCCCCCCTGCGCCCGTTTCAGCCCAGTAGTGGCAGAGGAGCTGCAGCGGTTGATTCGCTGTCTGGTCATCTCGGACATGCCAGACGTGCTCAACCTCAGGGGCCCTCCAAATCGGACATACCAGGTGAGCCTTGCCTAACCGGAGGTACGAGGTGTGATGGTGCCGCCGCCCATTTTTGTGTGTTGGTCACCTTTTCGCTCCCTCCCTCTCACACTCTCACCCTCCCTCTCTCCCTCCCTCTCTCTCTCCCTCCCTCTCCCACCATCTCCCTCTTCCCCTCCTCCCACTTCTCAAGGTCTTTGTGAGCGAGCAGAAGGTGCTAGCAGTGGTCGTCTCCGTGCTGCAGATCCTCCTCATCAGCAAGGGCCTGCCGCAGCGCTGCCTCAGCGACTGCGACACCTTCTTCGAGGGATTCGACCTGCGCCGCCTCTGCAAGCTCATGAACCGCTTCCTGCAAGCCGCGTGCCAGCAGTTCAGGCCCGGGCAGGACCAGCTAGCGCCGTATGTGCCGCTGCTGGACCAGCTGGTTGGGAATGAGATCTATACCTCGGGCACGATCATGGCGATTTTCGCGGACAACGAGAGGATTATTTCGAGGGTCACTGTGGACAATGTGAGTGGTTTGAAAGGGTGGAGGGGGGTGAGGGAGAGTGGAGTTGGGTGGGGCTATGGTGTGTGGGGTGGGAATGTGAGTGGTTTTGACCTGCGCTGCCTCTGCAAGCTTATGAACCGCGTGCCAGCAGTTCAGGCCCGGGCAGGACCAGCTAGCGCCGTATGTGCCGCTGCTGGACCAGCTGGTTGGGAATGAGATCTATACCTCGGGCACGATCATGGCGATTTTCGCGGACAACGAGAGGATTATTTCGAGGGTCACTGTGGACAATGTGAGTGGTTTGAAAGGGTGGAGGGGGGTGAGGGAGAGTGGAGTTGGGTGGGGCTATGGTGTGTGGGGTGGGAATGTGAGTGGTTTTGACCTGCGCTGCCTCTGCAAGCTTATGAACCGCGTGCCAGCAGTTCAGGCCCGGGCAGGACCAGCTAGCGCCGTATGTGCCGCTGCTGGACCAGCTGGTTGGGAATGAGATCTATACCTCGGGCACGATCATGGCGATTTTCGCGGACAACGAGAGGATTATTTCGAGGGTCACTGTGGACAATGTGAGTGGTTTGAAAGGGTGGAGGGGGGTGAGGGAGAGTGGAGTTGGGTGGGGCTATGGTGTGTGGGGTGGGAATGTGAGTGGTTTTGACCTGCGCTGCCTCTGCAAGCTTATGAACCGCGTGCCAGCAGTTCAGGCCCGGGCAGGACCAGCTAGCGCCGTATGTGCCGCTGCTGGACCAGCTGGTTGGGAATGAGATCTATACCTCGGGCACGATCATGGCGATTTTCGCGGACAACGAGAGGATTATTTCGAGGGTCACTGTGGACAATGTGAGTGGTTTGAAAGGGTGGAGGGGGGTGAGGGAGAGTGGAGTTGGGTGGGGCTATGGTGTGTGGGGTGGGAATGTGAGTGGTTTTGACCTGCGCTGCCTCTGCAAGCTTATGAACCGCGTGCCAGCAGTTCAGGCCCGGGCAGGACCAGCTAGCGCCGTATGTGCCGCTGCTGGACCAGCTGGTTGGGAATGAGATCTATACCTCGGGCACGATCATGGCGATTTTCGCGGACAACGAGAGGATTATTTCGAGGGTCACTGTGGACAATGTGAGTGGTTTGAAAGGGTGGAGGGGGGTGAGGGAGAGTGGAGTTGGGTGGGGCTATGGTGTGTGGGGTGGGAATGTGAGTGGTTTTGACCTGCGCTGCCTCTGCAAGCTTATGAACCGCGTGCCAGCAGTTCAGGCCCGGGCAGGACCAGCTAGCGCCGTATGTGCCGCTGCTGGACCAGCTGGTTGGGAATGAGATCTATACCTCGGGCACGATCATGGCGATTTTCGCGGACAACGAGAGGATTATTTCGAGGGTCACTGTGGACAATGTGAGTGGTTTGAAAGGGTGGAGGGGGGTGAGGGAGAGTGGAGTTGGGTGGGGCTATGGTGTGTGGGGTGGGAATGTGAGTGGTTTTGACCTGCGCTGCCTCTGCAAGCTTATGAACCGCGTGCCAGCAGTTCAGGCCCGGGCAGGACCAGCTAGCGCCGTATGTGCCGCTGCTGGACCAGCTGGTTGGGAATGAGATCTATACCTCGGGCACGATCATGGCGATTTTCGCGGACAACGAGAGGATTATTTCGAGGGTCACTGTGGACAATGTGAGTGGTTTGAAAGGGTGGAGGGGGGTGAGGGAGAGTGGAGTTGGGTGGGGCTATGGTGTGTGGGGTGGGAATGTGAGTGGTTTTGACCTGCGCTGCCTCTGCAAGCTTATGAACCGCGTGCCAGCAGTTCAGGCCCGGGCAGGACCAGCTAGCGCCGTATGTGCCGCTGCTGGACCAGCTGGTTGGGAATGAGATCTATACCTCGGGCACGATCATGGCGATTTTCGCGGACAACGAGAGGATTATTTCGAGGGTCACTGTGGACAATGTGAGTGGTTTGAAAGGGTGGAGGGGGGTGAGGGAGAGTGGAGTTGGGTGGGGCTATGGTGTGTGGGGTGGGAATGTGAGTGGTTTTGACCTGCGCTGCCTCTGCAAGCTTATGAACCGCGTGCCAGCAGTTCAGGCCCGGGCAGGACCAGCTAGCGCCGTATGTGCCGCTGCTGGACCAGCTGGTTGGGAATGAGATCTATACCTCGGGCACGATCATGGCGATTTTCGCGGACAACGAGAGGATTATTTCGAGGGTCACTGTGGACAATGTGAGTGGTTTGAAAGGGTGGAGGGGGGTGAGGGAGAGTGGAGTTGGGTGGGGCTATGGTGTGTGGGGTGGGAATGTGAGTGGTTTTGACCTGCGCTGCCTCTGCAAGCTTATGAACCGCGTGCCAGCAGTTCAGGCCCGGGCAGGACCAGCTAGCGCCGTATGTGCCGCTGCTGGACCAGCTGGTTGGGAATGAGATCTATACCTCGGGCACGATCATGGCGATTTTCGCGGACAACGAGAGGATTATTTCGAGGGTCACTGTGGACAATGTGAGTGGTTTGAAAGGGTGGAGGGGGGTGAGGGAGAGTGGAGTTGGGTGGGGCTATGGTGTGTGGGGTGGGAATGTGAGTGGTTTTGACCTGCGCTGCCTCTGCAAGCTTATGAACCGCGTGCCAGCAGTTCAGGCCCGGGCAGGACCAGCTAGCGCCGTATGTGCCGCTGCTGGACCAGCTGGTTGGGAATGAGATCTATACCTCGGGCACGATCATGGCGATTTTCGCGGACAACGAGAGGATTATTTCGAGGGTCACTGTGGACAATGTGAGTGGTTTGAAAGGGTGGAGGGGGGTGAGGGAGAGTGGAGTTGGGTGGGGCTATGGTGTGTGGGGTGGGAATGTGAGTGGTTTTGACCTGCGCTGCCTCTGCAAGCTTATGAACCGCGTGCCAGCAGTTCAGGCCCGGGCAGGACCAGCTAGCGCCGTATGTGCCGCTGCTGGACCAGCTGGTTGGGAATGAGATCTATACCTCGGGCACGATCATGGCGATTTTCGCGGACAACGAGAGGATTATTTCGAGGGTCACTGTGGACAATGTGAGTGGTTTGAAAGGGTGGAGGGGGGTGAGGGAGAGTGGAGTTGGGTGGGGCTATGGTGTGTGGGGTGGGAATGTGAGTGGTTTTGACCTGCGCTGCCTCTGCAAGCTTATGAACCGCGTGCCAGCAGTTCAGGCCCGGGCAGGACCAGCTAGCGCCGTATGTGCCGCTGCTGGACCAGCTGGTTGGGAATGAGATCTATACCTCGGGCACGATCATGGCGATTTTCGCGGACAACGAGAGGATTATTTCGAGGGTCACTGTGGACAATGTGAGTGGTTTGAAAGGGTGGAGGGGGGTGAGGGAGAGTGGAGTTGGGTGGGGCTATGGTGTGTGGGGTGGGAATGTGAGTGGTTTTGACCTGCGCTGCCTCTGCAAGCTTATGAACCGCGTGCCAGCAGTTCAGGCCCGGGCAGGACCAGCTAGCGCCGTATGTGCCGCTGCTGGACCAGCTGGTTGGGAATGAGATCTATACCTCGGGCACGATCATGGCGATTTTCGCGGACAACGAGAGGATTATTTCGAGGGTCACTGTGGACAATGTGAGTGGTTTGAAAGGGTGGAGGGGGGTGAGGGAGAGTGGAGTTGGGTGGGGCTATGGTGTGTGGGGTGGGAATGTGAGTGGTTTTGACCTGCGCTGCCTCTGCAAGCTTATGAACCGCGTGCCAGCAGTTCAGGCCCGGGCAGGACCAGCTAGCGCCGTATGTGCCGCTGCTGGACCAGCTGGTTGGGAATGAGATCTATACCTCGGGCACGATCATGGCGATTTTCGCGGACAACGAGAGGATTATTTCGAGGGTCACTGTGGACAATGTGAGTGGTTTGAAAGGGTGGAGGGGGGTGAGGGAGAGTGGAGTTGGGTGGGGCTATGGTGTGTGGGGTGGGAATGTGAGTGGTTTTGACCTGCGCTGCCTCTGCAAGCTTATGAACCGCGTGCCAGCAGTTCAGGCCCGGGCAGGACCAGCTAGCGCCGTATGTGCCGCTGCTGGACCAGCTGGTTGGGAATGAGATCTATACCTCGGGCACGATCATGGCGATTTTCGCGGACAACGAGAGGATTATTTCGAGGGTCACTGTGGACAATGTGAGTGGTTTGAAAGGGTGGAGGGGGGTGAGGGAGAGTGGAGTTGGGTGGGGCTATGGTGTGTGGGGTGGGAATGTGAGTGGTTTTGACCTGCGCTGCCTCTGCAAGCTTATGAACCGCGTGCCAGCAGTTCAGGCCCGGGCAGGACCAGCTAGCGCCGTATGTGCCGCTGCTGGACCAGCTGGTTGGGAATGAGATCTATACCTCGGGCACGATCATGGCGATTTTCGCGGACAACGAGAGGATTATTTCGAGGGTCACTGTGGACAATGTGAGTGGTTTGAAAGGGTGGAGGGGGGTGAGGGAGAGTGGAGTTGGGTGGGGCTATGGTGTGTGGGGTGGGAATGTGAGTGGTTTTGACCTGCGCTGCCTCTGCAAGCTTATGAACCGCGTGCCAGCAGTTCAGGCCCGGGCAGGACCAGCTAGCGCCGTATGTGCCGCTGCTGGACCAGCTGGTTGGGAATGAGATCTATACCTCGGGCACGATCATGGCGATTTTCGCGGACAACGAGAGGATTATTTCGAGGGTCACTGTGGACAATGTGAGTGGTTTGAAAGGGTGGAGGGGGGTGAGGGAGAGTGGAGTTGGGTGGGGCTATGGTGTGTGGGGTGGGAATGTGAGTGGTTTTGACCTGCGCTGCCTCTGCAAGCTTATGAACCGCGTGCCAGCAGTTCAGGCCCGGGCAGGACCAGCTAGCGCCGTATGTGCCGCTGCTGGACCAGCTGGTTGGGAATGAGATCTATACCTCGGGCACGATCATGGCGATTTTCGCGGACAACGAGAGGATTATTTCGAGGGTCACTGTGGACAATGTGAGTGGTTTGAAAGGGTGGAGGGGGGTGAGGGAGAGTGGAGTTGGGTGGGGCTATGGTGTGTGGGGTGGGAATGTGAGTGGTTTTGACCTGCGCTGCCTCTGCAAGCTTATGAACCGCGT